AAGGAACGAGAATATTAAAAGGGAGGGGAGAAGCAAAAAGGGAAAAACAAAGAAACTTTCATCATCAGTGAACAGTGGAAATATTTTCTTCAACATTTATCCTCATTACTTATATCCGGCAGACGTATTTCTCTCTTTTATCTCGACGATAAAGGAAATATTTCTTCATCAATTATGGTTACTGAGGGGTGATTTAAAGTCCATGAAGTGTTTGAGCGATTCTATAATGTCAGAGGTGGGAACCTTGATTGAGAGAAAGTGTTGGCACAAAGCATGAACACATGCAGGCATTGACCTACTTCTCACACTTCTCTGACGATGATCAGGCCAGGAGCAAGTGTTCACTCCTCTAACGTAATAGTTTAGTGTGTCAGATATTGTGTTGCATAACTAGCCACCAAAACTAACAACACAGAGTAATCTGTGATCATTGCATTTTGAATCATGAAGATTATATTGAGTGAATAATTAAATAGGCGATAGAGAAGGCAAATACTAAACTATTTCAATTACTGAAGACATCTGAAGAAGTGTGAGAGAAGCTTGCCTTGTTCCTTCACCAGCTGTTATGTTGACATAAGACATTCAGAAAATGTGAATTTATTAATATTGTCGTACTGTATAATCAGTTGTTTTTTCATGCTTATTTAATGTCTGATATTTTAGACAAAATATCCAAGTCAGGTTAGCAACTCGGAGAGACAAAAACATCGTCTCAAAAGGCCTCGACTGTTTGGATCCTCACTGACAGGAAAGAACGGTATGTGCACATCTGTCCTGCAGTCTGCCATATAAGTTGGATTGTATTGAGTGAATTGATTGTGAAGCCAGATGAGTCTATGAGTTGTGCTTATCAATGGACCCCATTAAACACTTTTCGCCCCCCAGGGAGTTTCTTTGACTATGTAAGTCATTGTCAGCAGACAGCAGTCTGGCTAATCAATGAGTGCTTAATTACATCTGGTGCAGAGTCCAGAGGTGCAGTAAAACAATATGCCCGCACTGCCAGTGTCATCTTTTGTAGAGACAGATGGTATTTTAATCAGCGACGTTGTGAGGATCCACCCGCAAAAAAAAAAAAAGAATTTGGGACTTAGCTGAAAATGTCAACAGTTGGGAGTGTGTGACGAAACAAATGTGACAAGACAAGATAAGAATGTCATTTGGATTTCACTCTAAAAAACAATTAGGTTGCTCTTATCACTTTCATGAATCTCTGCCTCTTGACACGACACACAGCAATGGGCCACGATTTAATGGTTACAGATTAACAAAGTCTTCAATTCCCTACCATGATTTTTGCATTGTCCTAAGTAGCATAAAAAGATGATCTCAAGTAAAGCCCTATTTGCATATGTTAATGAGCATTTGCATATTGCTCTTTACACAGTCAACTAAAGCAATAAGTAAGGTTTGCAATGACTTAAGAAAATAGTCATACTCATCATACTGTATGTTATCGTTAAGCAGAAGTGGAAAAAGGGCTTTTAATGGTTCAGAATAACTCCGTGTCAGGAGACCTGTTGACTGAGACACCTACTGTATGTAAATCTGGAGGCCATCACTGACTCTGATCACCATAGGACTGACAACAAAGTGAATTAAGCCTCATCTAAATGTAAATGAGGTTTTATACCTTTGGCAAACAGCTTACGTAACCATCGATTTAAAAACAAAACAGATAGATTGTATTCTCTGCTATACTAATGCAACAAAATAAAATCTGTGCTTTATGAAAATGGGATGCAGATAGCTGTCGACCAAAGGAAGAAAACAACCTGACTGAGTTATAAGTCTGCATAAATTTCAAATGGAATCGTCCTCTTGAAATGCGCCATTCAATCTGGTTTGAGAGAGTAAAATAGACATAGACTGTCACGAAAGACCATTTCAATAGCTCTGAGAAATATACACGCCCATCCGACATGCAATACATGAGGCGGGAGCTTACACACTCGTCTCCAATTTCCTTTCTGTCATTGGTATCACAGATATCAGACTGAATGTATGAACAACGGCAGCTCTTCTATAAGCCTTACTGATACTTCAGGTATGCACAAAATCCTATCGAGTTTGAATATGGGCAGTAAATCTACTGTAAAAACTAAATGGCATACTCCTGGTTAGATGAACCAAAACATTGTATGTTGTTGAAAGAGGTTAGAAATGATATGATTAAGTAGATCTTCTAATACAAACACTTCCACTGATTGAAAATGCATTTCTTCTATCAACATTGGACTATTGCTGTGCATAACATTTAAGTTTCAGCTCATTAAAAAATAACTAAAATGCAAGAAAATATTTATTGTAACAATAAAGAGCAAGGGATACAAACGTTACCGATATCAACCCAAGTCAAGTTTGTTTGAGTTATACGATGTAACTCAGCGACCTTATTGAAGGGAAATCAGTAATGAATGAAAACACAGATGCTATTTTTCTATGCAAAAATTCCTGTTAATATTATGCCAACATCACTCATTCCACTGATCAATTTGTGATTTATAGACTTTTTTTACCAGTGGTTTCTCATAAATCAAATAAATATTTTATTTTTCCACATGGCTAGCCCAACACACAAAGCAAAGCGGGTTGTTCATATCGCAATACATTTTCTAGAAAGAATATCAGCTTTCTATTTCATCAAGTATTTATACCCTGAACAAAATATTTGACAGTTACCTTACCGCTAGGGTGAGTAATGCACTTTAGAATTTATATTTGTTGAAACTTTCTATACATCCCGACAGCAATTTAGAGATTAAATTCTTTGACGAAAAAAAAAAGGAAAAATAATCTAGTATCTGTGGCTGTAATTCAGGCCAAATGATTTGACGGGCTTTACCTTTGCACACTCTGGCCGAGTCCTCCACAAGCTGCTAGTTTGACAGCTGTGAGCACTAACAATAGCCATGTTAGTTGTTCATGTTGATTGTGAATATCTTGGGGGAGGGGCTTTGGCGGGAAGACCGAAGGGACGGGCTCAGTGTTGGCGAATTGGTGACTTTCTTGCTTGATCAGCGACTTTTAGAGCTAGTGCTGCTCGCTACTTTCATTGGAAAAGAGTTAGCAATACTGAGCAGAATTTGTGAATGGAGTGGATTCAGAAGCTTGTGCACATTATTTTCCCGCCTTTAAACTGCCTGGTACAAGTTATCCAGGCATAGGAGTACACTGTGAAAGAACTATCATAAACTAATAGCAAGGCTCGCTTTCAAGTAAGGTGGAAAAAATCCGTAATGCTTAAATGAAACGGCAACAGGGCATTAATTTGACATTAGCTGGCAAACATCAATTCATCCCCCATTGTAACTTTAGTAATGCATTTACTGGAAAGAGATTAATATCAATTCCATAAATCATTCAGGAGATACATCCGGAGCCTGAGACACTGGTATGTTAGCTGATCTCAGTGTGGAAGCTCAGCGGCCATTAATCAATGTCTGAGCTCCTCTGGGAAAAAAAGGCACATTTATAAAAAGGGCAATCACCACACTGATATCTCAGCACAATCCTCCTAATGTTACATGTATTTAGATCTTCATGCAGCGGTGCTATATATGCATTCATCTTCATACACCTCTTGTCTACTGTGTACAAATATGTGGATTTGGTTTCTATATTCATCCCTTCATACGCTCATACAGGAGTGGTTTTCCTCTTGTGAATTAATTAGTAGTAGGCCTGATATGTGACAACTGAACTTATTCGTATTCTCTTACGCTCTGAAAAAGTGTATTCGAGACGTCATGATAGTTACAATCAACTTCAGAGAACAACTTGGACAATGACACCAAGGCCAGACATCAGAAAGTAAACAAGTGGAAGTTAAAGTTCATCTCAGTCTGCCTGTGAGTGCCATCTGAACCTAATCTCCAAACAGAGATTCTGTCCAAGAGAGACCGGCTGATTCCCTGATTTACTTGTGTGCTTGACTGTGTGCCTGTGTGTGGGTCTAACCACCTGACCTTGTCGGTGGTTAATAACTTCTATATTTTCATTGTTGTGCCACTCAGCTGTCAGACAAAGTGGCAAACAAAGGCCATTAACAACTGACACTTGAGCACATTAACTTAATGGTACTGTATGCACAGCTCCAACAAAGGAGCTGGACAAGGTGACATGTCAATCACCCTTTCAAGTAACTAAACATATTTTAGCCATAGTACAGGAAGAATAGAATTAAAAGGTGGCTGCAAGAAAATAGCTTAAACAAGTCCCTGCGCTAAGTTGTAGTTATTCATCATAAAGATTTTAAGAGCCTAGCTCTTCTCTATAAATCTTTATATGAAGTCCCTGATTATACTGTTGCCAAGATATGTCTCAGTGTTGATGGAGCTCTCAGACACACAGACTCACAGTTAGTTGCTATATACAAAATGATCTCAGACAATTATACATGCTGAAGAAGCCTTCTGCTTTTGTACCCAAACCCTGGAATCGATTTCTTATTGACTCTGTGGGAGATTCTGTAAACCTGCTTCAAACCCTTTCTTTTAATATAAAGCACTTTTATTTATTTTTATTTGTATGTATTTTATTAAAGGTACAACAGACTGTAAATTGAGCAATTATTAGCAGCATAGTAGCAGTATTAAGTAGTATTAGTAATAGTATTAGTTGGGGCTCATTTCATGACCCAGGACATGTCTGCCAGTATTTGTATTTTCCAGGTTTTCAAGCATACATAGGAACGTTTATAGGTTCAAGGATTTGTCAATGTGTTAAATTTAATTTTGTGAGTGACGAGGCAAAGCCTTATCCAGAATACTGTCTGTAAAACGTCCACCTCTTAATGTGCGTGTGTGTGTGTGTGTGTGTGTGTGTGTGTTTACTGAAGTTCCCAAACAACATCTTGCATTGGCGCTTATTTGCAGCCTGCTCCGTAACAGTGGTATACAATACCAAAGTTGGACGTCATCAACATGAAAAGAACAATATAAAAACATTTACTGGATTAACAGGTGTAACTTTCTCCAGTTCAGTTTACTACTCACCACTCTCAAAGCAAGCATCAAAAAGCAGATGTCCTTTTCGCGGAGCTCCGGAGTAACCTGGTGGGCTCACCATCAGCTTGTTCACATTTCCCACCAAGGCATCCTCTCCTCCAGTTTCACTGCCTGAAAAACAACATGTGTAGGATTAGGATGAGTCTCACTTATGTAAATGTGTTAAGCAAATATTTGACCAGTAAGCTTTATCTGACTTCATTTTAAAGGGCGTAAGCCCTTAGTGATAAATAAATGAGATTCATACAGAATAAAGCAGTCCTAGATTGTTGACCTTAAAGTAAAAACATAGATTGCCATGCAGAACCTTACACCACCAATAAACCGAAATTATGAGAAAAGATAACAAGATGAAAAAGATACAAAAAATTTTAAAAAGATAAATGTTGACTCATATAGTCTAGTGATGTACTGTATACGCGACATCTTACTGAGACAAATAAACAAATAAATAAAGCATATAAAGGTTAAAAAATATCTATATTTTTGCAGTAGAAAATGGACATTATAAACAATGTTGCTTAAATGTGTGGCTTTGTTTGAGCTTTTGCGTAATAAAAAGTAAAAGAGAGACATATTCCGTAACAGTTGTTCTTCTTGTATAATTATTAGTTGAAGGCTTTCTTGTGAACAGGCCAGTACATTACACAAACAGGGTTAACATCTTTTGTCTTTATTCTAACACTTTAACACACATTATGCCTTGAACTGGTTGTGTGCAAATAAGACGATACTGTCATTCTGATTATTTTTATGTTTACCTTTGTATGCATTTGAATATTTTATGTATTATGCATTTTTTTTGTTATTTAAAAAAAATTATCTTATTTTATTTTACTGTGCTATCCACACTCAATACCATTCCGTGGTCCGGATGGTAAACACAGTGCAGTGAACCTCACAAAATATATCTACAAACGGAATGAAAAGCAATATACCTTATTTTAAGAGCAACGGTACGTGCATCACAATCATTTGCATCTGTGGGTGCATGCATATTAAAGACCCAATTACTATTATTTACATTAAAAGCATAACTTTGTTGGATGCTATTGGGTTATTCTAAACCCATCCGCATTAGAAATGTAAAATGTGTTATCTATTTACAACCATGGTGAACGTTACAGATTCAAAGAAATCTTCTGCAGCAACAGAAAATACCACAAACTGAGATTGTGTTCACTTTTAGTACATTTATTAAAATCTTTACAGTTGTCCACTAATTCTGGTTCAAATATGTGTTCTGTTTTTTATCAACACGGTGGTCCTTACCCAATTTTTTGGGCATTTGTTTACGGATTATATCTTTAATTTTGGAGGGTAATTGATGAAAAGCAAATAGTAATACCGACAGCTAGTTTATTAGCTTACACAGCAGTTCACTGCAGGACCGACCCCTGTGTAACAGAGCTAGCTAGCAGGTACTCAGCCACTACACCTGCACTACTGAAGAATGGGATCGGTTAACATGCCAGCGGTATTGTGAAGTATTTCCGTGAGGTTGCCTACATTGCCAGCACATTTTTTGCTATATGGTTGGCTAACGTCATGCAGCTGCAACGCTATAGGTTAGCTCATAACAAACTGGTGACATGAGTCTTGTTTACATCCCTTGTGCCTGCTAGCTAGAATGTTAGCACACTTCATGTTAGCGTCAATACAGAGACACGGAGCGAGCCCAAAACATGCAGCTAGAATACGTCAGACAACTGGGCATCACCCGCAGTCCTTCTGCTTGTAAAGCAACGAAGAAGAAGCCAGGCATGGCTCGTATTTACACACCAGTCTCGACGTCTCTAACAGTGTTCTCCTCCATCTTCCTTTCCATCCTGTCACAGAGCAGCCGACGCTCCATGTGTGTTGCCACGGCAACGGAGCTCGAGGACGAGGGAGAGGCGTCATCAGTCCATCAGTCCACCGCTGCAGAAACACAAGACATCGGTTTACATGTTCATATGGGTAAGCTAAGCCAAGTTCAGTCGTTGAATTATATGCAATATCAACAACAAACGGTATTGATTTGCTATTGATGATTTGTGCACTTGGATCTGAGCGCACAAATTATTGAACAGAACTACAACAACACAAAAATAGCAGAAATGCCGATTATTGTTTTTCTGTGATGATTCCATGTCTTAAGCTGTCGGGAAGATGATTCTTAAAGATATAAGTTAGATTTTGTCTCTGTCTGAAAACCAAGCACTAACATTTCCAAAAATGTACTGAATTAACAGTTATAATGATATTCTATTATGTTTAGGGAAAATCTTCATATGTCAAACATACAACTTTCACATTTGGCAGGCAACACTAAACTAGCAACGACTCCCATTACACAGAATCTGAACTCTAATCAGTATATTGTACACACCTCACTTTTATCACCGCCATACCTGCATTCTTAATGGTATTTTCAGAGAAGAAAGCCAATCATGGCAGGTGGCAGCCAGAGATTCTGAATCATCCTGCAGATTGATTAAAGCTGGAGGTTTTCTAGACAATTGGAGCATAGATGTCATCAAGGCCAATCAAGCCTGGCCCTATTTCTTTCCCATTACAAAGGCTGCACCTGATTAAGTACATCAAATGAGCAGTCGCACAGCTCCTGGAGCAAGAGGCATACAGGCTGCTACTAATTTTCAGGTTGTAAGCTATGTGTAATTCGCCCAAATGAAAAAGACCAGGGAGAGGGCAATGATTTTTCTCTCTGTGTGTGATCTGTGTTTGATGGCAAGCATCAACAGGCCGCTGAGTAGATAGGTCAGACTGATTATTTTTCAGATGACAGGAAGAGAATACAGAGCTGCTGTGTAATATTTCTCTAAAATTGAAAATTGAATAGCTGTCCTCCATGCTATGTCATTCCTTAAACTCTATGCCAATTAAAGAGCTCTATGGTGGTACAATCATTCATTTTCGAGAGGGAGATTGAAATTGAATTATGGAGCATGAGAAGAATGAATTAGATACGCTACATGTTTCCCTTGTTTCTCAGCTCTTATCAAACAGAGAGACTGCATATAGTTTAATTTACCGCAAGATCCTGGCTTGTCTCTGCCAGATCTTATGGCTGAAAGTCACATTTGGTTGTTGGCTTGTGAAAGACAATTTGCATAAGAACATTATTTTCAATAGTATGACAGTTATAATTGGAAATACATTACATGACATGCTCTGTCAGATATGGCTATTTTTAATGTCTCTTGTCGTAGGCTGTGATATTGTTACTTTAAAGGGAAACTGAAATCAAGGGGACATTTTCTCAAGTATTTAAATCTACTTATTATAAACAACTAGATGTAATTAGATGTAAAAGTATGGGAGTTTATTGCTGCAAAGACTTTATGTTGTGAATGTTTTCCTTTTCCTCTGAAGCTCCATATTCTATATTGTTAAGACATGTTTGAAGAAAGAGAAAAAAACCAGCAACACTTTCAACAATAACCCCACTACTTTCTGCCCAAGCAACACTGCATGCATAAAGTATGTTATTTTTGTCATGATGTCTGCAAAGTGCAGCAATGATTTAATGAACACATCCATCTCTGGAAAACAGGATAACATGAAAGAGAATTACAGTCCACACCGTGGTCTCTCAAATTTTAATTATCCCTCAGGAGAGTGTATTTTTATATGCTTATCAAAACATTTTTGACCCCAAATGATTTCTGAACATATGAATGTGCTTCACATGTAGTGCTTCACATGTAGACATCCCTGTCACGCTTTTAATACTGAATGTAACATTAAGAAACTGTGGCTATTTTAAGCGTGGATGGCAAGTGACTGGAGGACACGTCGCACCATCACCATCCAGTCAGAAACCCCTTGGGGAAAGAGTAGCTTTGGCACAGCAAAGGTATTTTTAAGCTCTGCTTTTCATTCTTTCAGAAAGATACTTTTTCTTCTAAACTGTGAAATGATCAAATAAGTCAGTGCTTGTAGCTCAGTATCACAACTGAAGGAAAGGAAAAAAATATTGTTTATGTTTCCAGCCTGAAGCTCTGTCTGTGCGCGCGCGCGTGTGTGTGTGTGTGTGCGCGCGTGTGTGTGTGTGCTGAGGTACAAATCTATGTTTTTGTATTTGTATTGCAGCAAGTACAGGGAAACCCTTTTACTGTGGCCAGCTTAGGACTTCCACACATAAAGTCCATCTTCAATGAAGGAGGAAGTCATGCAAAAATCAAAATACAGGGCAGAAGTGGCCGTGAGTTGGTGACGGGTGGTTGGGCGAGGCAGGGTGGGGGGTTCGGGGGGGGGGGGGGGGGGGGGGGGGGACCAGCCGGCAGTACACAGAGAATCACTATGGTGACAGCAATCCGGGGGCTCAGGGGAGTGAGGCTTGGTCAGAGAGGCAGGCTTGAGAGGCAGCTGACTGAGGAATCAGCCCTCACTCTGGATGATTCAACTGACAGCTCCCCCCCAGGGCTCTGCCGGACCAGCCTTCCCTAGAGACTGCGGGCTTTACGGAACAGAGATGTGGCTAGCAGCCCTTTTCTGAGGGAAAGGGAAAAAAAACAGAATTGAAGCCAACACAGCAAAACAGCTGAAGATGATTCTGCATTATCCTGCTCCTGATGGAAATATAAAAAAGAGAAATGTGCTCATTAAAAACATGTAAGCAATATTACATGACAAATCCTCGACAAGTGTGAGTCTCTCTCCATATTTTTCCATTTCCTGTTTTACATGAACACCCGTTAAAACAAACAGTTTGCCAACACTTCCTCTGCTTTGTTTGTACCTCGCTGTTAACCCCCTCTCTCAACCATTAATCGCCACCCTCTCTTCTCTCTTTATCCGCCGCTTCCTCCGTCTCTCCGTCCCTTTCTCCCTCCCTTCCTTTCTGCTATGCTGGACGGTGTCCACCTAAACAGATGGTTCAGTGTCAATAGACAGCTATTAAATGGCCGCTCTCCCTGCTCTGATCCAAGACGGCCAAAAGCACATTCAAAGCACTAGGAATGAATCCTTTGCCACGCTGAAGGAGCTGCGAGGAAGACACCACTAAGATTAGCATTAGTGAAGATGATAGCAGCTCCAATCACCCCGTCAGCATCATTTTCATAAAACATTTTTACTTGCTTTATTTTCTCATGGGCTTCAATTCCATGAACATTTGGACTTACATATACACTGTATGCAGATACAGTACACTGTGAGTCATACTCTGACATGTCTCAGGTGTCATCGGCTGAAGCCAAACAATGTAGTGAATCACATCCTTGGAACAAGTCTCCCTCATCTTTTTTTTTTTTTTCCTTGTTTACTTGTTCCGTAGTTGGGATCTCCTGCCATGCCTGTGACTAGCTGCTTCGTCATCTCTATGCCACACCCTGCTGAGGAAAAGGACAACCACCTGACCTTGATGTTCGCATCAGCCCAACCCTCACTTTTTTTCTTTTGCTTCCTATTACCGAGAGGTACCATTCATTTCCACTCCCTTGAGGTCTCTTGATAGTGTGCAGGTTTTTATTCCATTCCATTACTTTACATGTACCCGTCACAAAAAAACACCTCCAAGGTAGTGCTCGAATTATTTCCCTCCCAGAAGTCTTTGATAGTTTTTTTTCTACACTTGAATCCACAACCTGCTTTTGTAAGAGCCATAATTAGATAACAGGACTGAACACTATTAGTCCTCACACACGCAAGTTTGATACGGTGAGGGAGCACAAACGCTCAGTCACCGTTTATACCTGTGTTTTATAGACACACACGGAAAAGGGTAGAAGAGAGGAAAATCTAAAAGATAGGAGTGGCACGGAGAGGAAGGGATGTGGCGGTGATGGTGTCGCTGTTGCTAGAACAGTCTTCCCACCTTGTGGCAGCACAGTGAACTGTAGCTGCATCAGGAGCGAGAGAGCCAGAGAGAGATGGAGTGAGAGAGGGAGGGAGAGCAAAGGAGCGAGTCAGAGGGAGTGATACAGAAAGAGAGAAAGAGAGAGAGAGAGAGCAAAAGGGAGGGGAGTTTAAACTAAGTGCTATGTTTTGGGACAGGCTAATCTGCTAGCGAGCAGTGTGAGGATCGGAGCGTATTGTGCGAGCCAGTGTGCGGGGGACAGATAAGGGAGCCAGCCAGCCCGCCAGCCCGACCCACCGACCGCCTGACTGCCTGTTTTAATGTGCTGACTCTGGGGAGATTTAAAAAAAGAAAAAAAAAGAAACAGCATATTGAGTCCTTAGACGTGTGTGGAGACCCTGGACACAAACGCCACCACGACAGCCACAGCCTGCAGAGAGGTGCATCAACAGACAGGGGAGAAAGAAAAAATAGAGCACTGAAAAATCACAACTCCAAAATCAGAAAATTAAAAGAGGATCTTTTTTTTATCCCCCCTCTTTTTTTCAATTTATTTCATTTTTTTTTTCTTTATTTCTGTTTTTGTGTTCCCGGGACCGTCTCCCAGTCGTAGAGAAGAAAAACGGGGAGCAAAGAACTGAAGAGAATCTGAAAATAAACGGACAGAACGAAAAAAAAAAAAAAAAAAAAAGAACCAAACCTGAACATGTTCGAAATAAGCCGAACACTCAACGCCGCTTTGTTGAGCAATGAGGTAAAGAGATTTGGATTTGCTTCTTTCTCCACACTTCACCTGTGCGTGTCTGCTGCCAACCATTCTGTCATGTGTTTTATTGTATGTCCGTGCGTGTCTGTACATTTCTGTATGCTCATAGTCAGGAGACAAAGGGTATGATTGATAACAGCAGTTGTTTATTATATATTTCCCCAGCTCGATAGTCGGTACGGAGAAAAAAGGGGCTGCTACGCTTCTCACACTCATCCTGGCTTGTAATAATAAGAGAGCTAGTGCCTAGACTTTACATCCCTCTATTGTAACAAAACCAAGGTAGCTATC